TGCACAGCTAGGAGAGCCAGACTTTCCTTATTGTTATTGCTATTATTGCTCAGATGGTGTGCTGGAACTTTTCCTCCAGAAACTTGGACACCCACGAAGCCTCTAGTTAATGGGTGATTGTCTAAGACAGTGTTTCCAGGGACTCCTGGACCACAGCTGAGCGGGGCTGGAGCTGGTTCAGAGTCACTGCAAGGTCCACGGAGGGGCCTGGGCCCAGGTCTGTCCGCCTGCCACCAAGGCACAGGTGGACGGGACTCCTCCCTGGCAACGTGCTGGATCCTACAGCTCCCACGACCTGCGTGGATGCCGAATTGTTCTCGTTCTCGGTGAATGGCTGTTGGGGGTGAAAGGGACAACAATAAGGCATGTCTTATGTCACTGTGGTGCTGCCGTCCTCTGAAGTTTACCTTGGATGCACTAAGTTTCTAAGTCTCAATCATTGTTTTTGAACCCCTAATATATGTCTCTGATTTGTTCTATCTCTCTTTTTAATCCTTACCCAAAGATATTTTTCTATTTATCTTCAGATAGAGTGGGAGGGTGGGGGAGAGAGGGAGAGAGAGAGAAACACTGATGTGAGAGGGACACATGAACTGGTTGCCTCCTGCACGACCCCTACCAGGGCCGGGGATGAACCATAACCAAGGTACATGCCCTTGATGGGCTCGAACCCGAGACTCTTTGGTTCACGGGCCGACACTCTAACTGCTGAGCCAAACTGGCCAGGGTGATTTGTTTTCCCTTTTGAACAAAGGCCACACTTTTAGTATGCCAAACTTTTAGATATGTTTTGATAGCTGGTAGCACACTTAGCTCCTCATTGTTGCCTTTTGAAATATTCTTGAGGCTGTTTTTGCAGATTTTCTCTTTATAATCAGCTTTGCGAGTGCTCTAACAAATACTTCAAATTTGGGCTGGCCATGTACTGAATTTATAGATCAATTTGGAGGAAAACGAATATATTTGCAATTGCGAATTTTTCCATTCAGAGACCTGCTCTATCTTTCCATTTATCTTTAATCCATCATTCTTTATTAATGTGATATATGTGTATATATAATGTAATTGATGGATGTATAACATATATATGTATAATACAATATATAATACATCTGACTAATAAGTGTTCTTGTCATACTTAGCTCTGCATAGTTTAAGGAATTTGTTGTTACAGTAAAGGAGAATTGTTTCCTACCACATTTTCAAACTAGTTATGTTGTATTAGAAAAAGATAGTTTCTTGTGTCAATCTGGACCTAACTTCTGGGTTCCTATTTTTATTTAGGTTGATTCTCTTGCACTTTTTAAGATGTATGATCTTATAATGGCATCTTTGTATCTTCTTTTTCACTGTTTACCTCTTATTTCCTTTTCGGTTTATTACTAATAAAATGCATGATTTTATTGTGGACTATGTTTCCATGGAAAAAGCTACTGATGTTCATACCATCAAATATCCTGTTCGTGGTGCATTTCAGACCATGCCCTTTATCAAATGTCAAATATTTTCCTCCATTTCTAAATTCCTCAGAATGCTATAAAGATTTGGTGAAGATATTTACTGACTTCTATTATAGTGCATATTTTCCCCTTTATTTGTTAATTGTATGAATTTCATTAATGTTGAATATTTATTATGGGTAAAACCTTAATTGCTGTTCTTTTATAAAACTGCTGTGATATATTTGCATTGAGGATTTTTGCATCTATTGTAAATAAATTGGCCTATAGTTTTCCTTTGTGATATCATCCTTGTTGGATTTTGAGGTATACATATGTAAAAAAAAGTGTTTCTTAAATAAAGGGATGGAGAGACTAGACGGATGAATGAAGAGTGAGTCAATGAATAAAGATGGGAGGAGTTGATGAATGAATGAAGAAAGGGAAGGAGAGAGGTGGATACAAGAACAATATGGAGAGCTGCAGGAACTTGGCGGACTGATGAACGGGTAGAGTGAGTGGTGTATAGACAGATAGTGAGACTTAAAAACTGTACAAACAGAGAAAGAGGTTGAACAGGTAACATAATGTTAGTGTCACTGTTGCCCTTTGATGTAAAGATGGACTCAGTGACATTTCTATAAACTCTACCATACGTTACAAAATCACTGTGTAGCTTGGGTTTATTTTGGTCACAAGGTATAGAAAACCAAACGTAAACTGGCTTAGCAGAAACAAGCACATGTTGGCCTCTATGAGCTGTGATATGTTCTGCACAAATCACAGTTTGTTTTCCTCTGTTGCCAAACTGGGTCACAGGATTTTTCTTGACCTATTTGCTACAAAGGAATCAGATTAAGCCAAAAGACCTCAGGCTTGGAGATAAGGTAGAGACACTGTGCTTCTATACAAAGAGAAACAAGAAATTCTTCATTCAGAAATCTGGGTGTGGACATTGGGAAGCATTTAACAACTGACCACGGCAACGCTAGAATCCCAACCACGACTCTAACATCACACATCAAACTCTCACTGGAATGGAGCATGTTCTACCCGCATGGATTTCATGGTATCACACAGGCAAAGGCAATAGCTGTGCTGTCATGTTAGGTGCCAACCCACACTGCAGTGAGAGCTAAGAACAGAGTGAAGGTCACTGCATAAAACAGGAGGCTGTCCACAGTAAAACAAAATACTAATGCATGCACCTGACAAAGACTTGTATGCCTCTCACCTACTGAATTCCAACAACACAAATAAGAAATAGACAACAGATCTGACCATTTTGTGAAAGGTGGTATGCAAATGAAAAATAAACACAGTAATTATGAGATATGTCTTACCCACTAGAGTAACTAACAGTCAACTCATTTTAAAGATTTAAACTCGATTCTTACAGCAAAGTGAGTCATTGTAGGATTGACAGCAGACGTGGAAATGGTTATTAAAACAATCTCATTTCCTGCCCTTGCGTTTTTATGGACTTTGTCCTCATGGGAAGCAAGTTTGGATATAAAATCTGTTTTCATGGAAACTCTTAGCTTTTAGTTAAAAGTTTCTTAAAATAAGGCAATACTAAATATTGTTTTTAAGAGTAGCACAATAGCCTGGCTGGTGTGGCCCAGTGGATTGAGCGTCATCCCATGGACTGAGAGGTCCTGGTTTGATTCCTGGTCAGGGCACATGCCGGGGTTGTGGGCTTGATCACTGGTAGGGAGCATGCAGGAGGCAGCCAATCGATGTTTCTCTCTCTCCCTTTCTCTCTTTCTAAAAATATTTTTTTTTAAAAAGGTGACGAAAGATGCAAAAAAGAGGATGGGTAATAGCAAGAAGCCTAAAAAGTGGACAGATGAGGTTGAATACAGTGGAAATAGAAATACATATAAAATAGTCAGCAGAAAGCAAGGCAATTGACAGTTCTAAAACTATGCTGAGAAATGAATAAAGCAGAATAGTCCTGCATAGGAACCAGAAACCAGAAAATGTGTGTGGGAACACAGGAAAGAATAGGACATATTTGTGTGACTGTATTCTGCTGCATTAATCTTCTGATACACATGTCCAATTAGTTGAGGGTATCTGTCTCTGAATCGAGTGTCTTGCCACAAAGCAATTTGGAATTTATTTTCACAAGTACTATTTGGTTCAGAAAATATTACCCAACTTTTAGGTAAAACCTCACCTGCTCATCTTTCCAGGTAGGGTATACTCGACACACTTCTTTATCCTCATCTTCAATACTTACACACTCACACACACAATTTTTATCTTGAGACCAATTTCTTCATCTTTACAATAAAGAAACTGGACTAAGTACTATTTTTTCTTCTTCAAAATAAAAATAGATTTTTCATTATACAAATAAATCATGCTTATAGGTAGAAAAGAGAAAGGTTTAAAATAAGTGATGCTCATTCACATACTAAATTGAAAATTATGTATGTCTTTTCTAAAATTTACATGCTAAACGTAAATATACACATCCACATTTAAAAAAAAATTTTTTTTCTTTATTGATTTTTAGAGAGAGAGGAAAGGAGAGGGAGAGATAGAATCATTGATGAGAGAGAACATCTGATTGGCTGCCTCCTGCATGCCTTCCACTGGGGATTGGGCCCACAACCTGGACATGTGCCCTGACCTGGAATCACACACACTGGCGACCTCTTGGTGCACGGGTGATGCTCAACCACTGAGCCACATGGGCTGAGCACACATCCATATTTTAAAATCATGTTGTAATATGTTCTACTTCTAATATTAAAAATAGTTCTGAAAAATTTCTATCTTTTCTTTGATACACCATAAATTATATAACTTAGCTCTACTTAATGGGCTTAACATTATTTTGTTTTCTACTTTATGGATATTTCTGGGATGATCATCGTTGTGTAGTATTTCTGAACATTTATTCAATTATTTTTGAATAATTTCCTGCAAATAAAATGTCTGTATCAAAAAAATCCACATATGCTAAATTTTAGTATGTAGGAATTTTGATTGGGATTTCATCAAATTTGTAGATTGGGTTAAGAGGAATTCTTTCACTGGCTCCTTTGACAGGTATGTATTGAGCGCCGTCTATGGGCCAGGCCTTAGAAGCGCAGTGCACAACCCGAAGAGCTTGCAATCGGGGCAGCTTTAGGTCCGAGTCAAACCAGATCCACAACCTGAAGTCAGGACCTGCCTCTCTGAGCTTTTCGTTGTTGTTCATCCCTCCAGGAACATCCCGCTCTGCCTTCCGGGCGAACACCGGGCGCTAGCTCCTCCACGCCCGGCGGCCCGCACCTGTGGCCGGTGTCCCGGGCGTTCAGCTGGCCTCCGGGTTGCGGGGAGACCGGTCCCTTTCTCCGCCCCGCCTCGGCCGCTCCTCCCCCCGAGGTGCCTCCATTCCCGCCCCTCTCGGCCTGCCCCCTCCCTTCCTCTGGGCTCCGGACCGCCCCTTCCAGCGGCCCGCGCCTCCCAGCTCCACTCGGGCGCCCGCTGCCCGGCGCCGCACTGGCTCCTCCGCCGGCCGCGCGACCCACCGGTGGAAAGGACTTTCCAGACCCGGGGCCGGGGATGGGGCGGGCTCTGCTGCGGCTGCCGCCGCCGCTGCTGCTGCTGCTGCTGCCGCCGCCTCGGTTCTTCGTTCCCGGGCTTGGGAGAGGGGGTGAGTGCGAGGGACGGGGACGGGGACGGGGACTGGGACTGGGGGCGCGCAGCCCGGGCGCCGGGATTGGGGGAGGGGGCAGGCAGAGCCGGGGAAAGGGGCGAGGGGCAGGGGAGGACGGCGGGGGAGGGGACGCGGGGCTGGGGGAGGGTCAGTCAGCGGGGTGGAGGTGCGTCCCCCTCCGCTCCCCCCAGCCCCCTACTCCCCGCGGGTAAGCGGAGCAGAGCGCCGGGCACGTACTAGCCCAGGGTCGGGGTGCCAGGACGGGACGTGTAAGCGAGTCGGTGGAAAGGGCGGGGGTCACTAAGGGCCCCCTTTCCTCCGGAAGGAGGTTGCGCTCGCGAGCGCTCTGGGAGTCCCCAAGTTTTCCTGCGAGAGGACCGTGGTCGCAGGTCTGGGAGGGCATGCTCGGAACCCCCCCACCCCCCATCCCTCTGCGCGGCTGGACCCGCTCTGGCGAGAGCTCTGGGGGAGGCACACCCGCGTCCCGAGGGACTTCGTGCACAGACGCTCAGGCTGCGGAGTTGGGGTCGCTGTTTGGGTGCACTGGACCAAGACGGGAGCCTGGGAGGGCGGCCTTCTGGCTGCTCCCCCTGGGCCCTCCTGGGCAATACCAGCCCTGCTCTCAGGACAGTCTGCGGGGGGTGCGGGGCCAGCCGAAGGGACACACATTCTGTACCCCTGTTGTCGGACAGGGCCTCCTGTGTTTGGACAGCATCTAGAAGGATCCCAGTTCTGCCAGGTGTGCTCAGGTGTAGACGCTGGCTGGATGAATCCGGTCGGGTCCGCGGGACCCGTTTACACCCACAGCTGGCTCGCGGGTGAGGAGGGATAAACAGGTTGGAAGTCCGGTCGCAGATCCACTTCTGTTGGAAGCAGGGAGACACTTACACCAGGCCTTACCAATAGACAAAGAAATGGGGGGAAACGTATGCTGGTAAACAGATCCCAGGCATTTTTCCTTGGCTAAACTATTTCCATCCAGCGTGCAGGGTTTTTGTTTTGTTTTGTTTTGTTTTGTTACCCTGAATATGGCAGAGAAGTTTTACCTATTGGAATCAAAGGTGTCTTTGTTGTTTTTTAAGGAAGAATACGAAGTTACAGTGAAGCAATTTACTTAAAACTTTTCCTTTTGAGGTTTTCTTTTTTGAAAGCTCAGTTGGTCAAAGGAAAACTTTTAAACAGTGCCTCCTTTTGCACATTAAATTATATATAAGCAATTTATAATTTGGGGCAATTTGAAACAAACATCAAAGAACTAAAACAACCCTGTTCTCCATCCCCCAAACCCTCAAAAATTCCTCAGCATTTCTGCCAGACCCGTTTTTCACAGTGTGCCAATCTGTTATATTTTCCTGCTAGCAAGGGCTGGCCATAAATAGCCTTGGAGGTAGTGAATGTGGTGGACACTAATGGGAGCAATAGTTTTTGTGTAAGATATTTAAAAAGTGTTTTGTTTTGTTTTTCCCTAAAATTATAAAAAGCTGTAGCCCTGGCCGGTTTGGCTCAGCAGTTAGAGCATCGGCCTGCGGTCCAGAGACACCTGGGTTTGGTTCCCGCAAGGGGTGCGTACCTCTGTTGCAGTTTGTCCCTGGCCCTGGTTGGTTGTGCGGGTGGCAGCCACTCGATTGTGTTTCTTTCACGTTGATGTTTCTCTCTCTCTCTCTCTCTCTCTCTCTCTCTCTCTCTCTCTCTCTCCTTCCCACTGTACCTGAACAAAAAATGGAAAAATGTCCTGAGTGAGGATTAAAAAAATAAAAAAGTTTGCAGCTGATAGTTAGCTTCAGTCAGATAATCATGGAAAGTCTGTCAAAATCCACCCAGCAGGAAGAATAACTTTTCTCCAGTTTTTCTTTTCTTTTTTTTCAATCCTCACCCGAAGACATTTTTCCATATTTTGTTCAGATAGAGTGGGAGGGAGAGAGAGGAAGAGACAGAGAGAGAGAGAAACATCGACGTGAAAGGGACATATCAAGTGGCTGCCTCCCGCACGACCCAACCAGGGCCGGGGACAAACTGCAACCAAGGCACGTGCCCTTAGCAGGAACCGAACCTGGGTCTCTCTGGACCGCAGGCCGATGCTCTAACCGCTGAGCCAAACTGGCCAGGGTTCCAGTTTTTCTTGTTCTACCTGTTGCTTTTTATCTTGAATTGACCTGGGTGATGTCTGATAGTGTTGGAGCTTACCTTGTGCAAAGCTCATAGAGTGGGATTCTCACTGGCGGAATTAGAGAAGTAAATGCTGTGCACAGGGATTACAAATGGAATGTAGAATCTCAGTCTAGTTTTAAGGTTTTTTATATTGCGCACTGGGAGTCCTACTGGGATGCTTAGGAGATAGGAGAGACAATGAGATAGACAGCGCAGACTGCGTTCGTGGCCTCTAACCTGTAGAAGAGTGGCTAAATAATTAACATTTACTCACCACTTTAACCCAGGAATCCTCCCCCCCATCCACACAGATACCATCCCTCAAACCACAGGCAGGCAGAAGTGAGAGTGCTGACATTTCAGTCCTCCTGTCTGATCAGCCTCTGGTGGGGGCGCTAGTGAGCAGCAAAACCAGGCAAAGGGGGGCTGTTAGGCACTGGGAGAGGATAGAGAAGTAAAAGTGGGTAACAGTGAGGGCATTTCCAGGTCCTGACCCATGATGAGGCTGTGTGTGCAGCTAAACTCACCTTTTAGAACAATTGGGCTTATAAACTCTTAAATGTGCATGTGTTCCTCCCGGCCTGCTGCTGGAACATGCTTTACAATATGCCGGCCACGTTTTCCCAGGGAGAACTCTGATTTGTCCCACTGCTTTCGGGCTTTATAAGGATAGCTTCCGAGGCTCCTTGGAAGTACGCAGGGCATAGGTCACAAATAAATCACTTTCAGAAAGTTATTTAGAACTACTTTCTTAAAGTGCTGAATGGAACACATTTATTTTCTTATATTAACAGGAACGATGTTTTTCAAGCATAGTTTTAGAAATAATTTCCAGATAATGTTAGGAGTAGGGCCAGGGAGTTAGCAGCCGGAGTTGGTTCTGAACATGTTGACTCCTCTGCTGCCTGTGAATTGGGAACCTACTGCCTGGTGGACAAGCTGAGCCAGGACCTGTCCCTTCTCGCCTGCACATAAATACACGAGTAACAGCCACTTCCCACATGCTAGCCAGAGTGAGATGTGAAGATGAGTCTCACTGTGTTGTCCCTCGTTTAGAATCCTCAGGTGGCTTTTCATTCCTTCCCAGAGTTTGCAAGGACTCCCAGGGCCTCTCACTCCTGTGGGCTCCTTTCCAGTTCCTCCCTCTTGTTCGGGATGCTTCGGTCACGGTGTCTCCTTTTCGGTCACCGTGTCTTCTTCCTGGCGCTTCTGCAATGGAGGTGCCCTCTGGCCGAATCTTTCCCGAGATCTCCACTTGCTGGCTCCTTCTGGTTTGGGTTTCGGCTCAGATGTTGTCCTGAAGAGGCCTCCCCTCACTAACGCCCCAGCCGGTCACGTCTGGCTCTCTCCCCATTTTTAATTTCCCAGTGACCCTTCCCGCCACCGGATGGTGGATGGCACAGTGCTGAGCCCATGTCAGGTGCTCAGTGGGTGACCATCAGGGTCAGGCCTCCTTGGCCTCACACATGCTCCTCCCCGTCTCCCTGCTGACTTTTCCAGAAACTGGGTTGCTGCAGGTCCTGTGCCCTTCTCCAGGGGTGGGGTGCCCTTCTCCAGGGGGTGGGGGTCTCCACTGATAGAAAAACCACCTTTCATTTCACTGTGACACCAAGGTGATTTTATTACTAGAAAAGTTAGGACATTGAGAGAAGATAGATTTTTGGACTCTTATCGCCAATATAGCAAAGTCAGCATATTTTCTATTCTCTCACCTATTCCAACGGAAAAAAAATGAAAAACAGATTTTTTAATGTTGAAAACACAGATTTAGCAGCTCCTCCCCAGGGGTGGGTGGCCCAGCACTCAGGTGGCGGCCATGGGTGCCTTACCTTTGGCCCATTGTCACAGATTTCATCCTAACCCAGAGCACAAGGCTGGGGCTGCTCAGGCAGCTCAGCAGGAGTTTAACTATTGTTAACAATGGAGACAGGCTGTTCATCTGGAGTGAAGGGCAGAACTGGGCTTGACTCAGGATCTGAGCAGCCAGCAAGCGGGCTGCTGTCTTGCATGGCCAGCTTCAGCTGCTTCTCTGGTCTGTGGGACTCTTAATTTTTCATAGAATTGAGAGAAGGATGAATTGAGCTAAAGGCATGTAGTAAGTCCTCCAAAAATGTTAGCCATTGTTACCGATGGTTTCCTCCATTCTCCTGAGCTCAGATTTTGGGGTAATTGTTTTTCCTGGACAGATGGTGTTGGGGGGAAGGTTTTTTCCTCACTGAAATGTATCTTAAATTGCACCTTGGACTAGATGGGCAGAGCTGTGGCCACCCTCCCCTGTTCCCTCTGGGGCAGGGCTGTGGGGTGTCGGTCCTGAGTTCTGAGTCCGGCTGTGCTCTTCAGGGTTTTGTTTCCTGGTAGTTCCCTTGCAGAACCCACCCTTGGCCTGTCCTGACCGCTCTGCCGCTGCCTTACCTTCACTTGCTGGATTCAGACTCAGCTCCGTCCAGGAATAGCTTCCTGTCATGTGCTTCTGTGGGAGGTAAAAAATGAAGGCCAGTTCCTGCTCTACTCTCCCACACAACTGTGCCAACGTGGGTGTGGTTTTTGTTTTGTTTTTGGGTTTTGAGTATAATCATCCAAATAATTCTGTCTCTTTAAAAACCAGGTTTTTCAAGTCAAGTCTTCTGGCTGCAGTGGATGGGGAAAGTGGCTTTGTTTCTTAAATTAGCCTCTGGGTATATGCACCAGTGTACACGTGCCTGGTGTGTACATGCCTGGTGTGTACATGCGTGATCTGTATGTGCCCAGTGTGCATGTACCTGGTGTGTGTGTTTACATGCCTGATCTGCATGTGCCTGATGTGTATATGCTTGATCTGTATGTACCCGGTGTGCATGTGCCTGGTGTGT